CCCCAAAACCCCAAAACCCCAAAACCCCTTATTGAGGAATCGATTGATAAATTAATAGATAAATTAATAATCAAATATAATAAAGAAGAGAAAATAATGGCTCACTTCTTGAAAGGTCAATTCAAAGCATTTTACAAGGTAGGTCCTTCAGAATGCGTCCGTGATGTGATTCGCTTTAGAAAGTTCAAAGAGACCTCACTCCAATACGAGTAAGCAATCCAAATCAGATACCAGAAAGACTTTAACCTATGCTTATAGATTAACAAGAAGAGACATGGAGACATATCTCGGAAGATTTTTGAGATATGAGAACGCCTCAATTTCACTATTCCCAGTAGACGAAAACCAGCCCAGACTAGGAGGTAAAGTCAGAGTCAAGGTGCTTGCCATGGACTGGCGCACATTCACCCCTTCATACAAAACTCTGCACGGAATCTACTCAGATGACTTCATCACCTTCGGAGAGTTCAAAAAGGATGCTGGCGATCCCTTCCACGATGAAGCTCTATTGCTCAAAGTAGTTGATGATTAAGATAAATCCATAGTCGCCGACAGAGTCACTTTCAGATTTGAAGGCAATGGACTACACTTCAAAAGAGAAGTCAATGGAGAACTTCTCGACACTGAGATTCATCACGATGTTCCCGAGACTAAACTCACTCCCGTTATTGATCAAACATGGAGTGAAACCCTCTTCTATGGGGTCGGAAACAAAAACATGTGAACACCATAATAGTGATATTTAGCTAACTTTAAATAGTGTCATCAGAATGAAGCAATCTTTAGATGATATGAATGAGACGGTTAGCTTGATTATTTAAAATAAACCAGTTAAGTTATTATCAGCAAACTTACTATCGCTTTCATTAAACATATTATAAATATTTTGTATAAATAGCAGTGCGAGTATTATTAAAATTAATCATAAAATCAAAATGGGAAAATTCACTCAAAACTACTCGACTTTGATGTGCTCAGTGGCCCTGTTGTCTTGTCTCCTGAACATTAGCCTGTCTGAAGCAAGACTACAAATAATGAGTCCTGTGAACCTGCAGTCTAAATTTATCAGTAAGTCTCACTGTGTATTTATCTTTATAGATGGAACCATTCCAGCTAGCTATGCAAACTTTGGATATATTCCCTACGGACATTCAATTGTAAGTCAGCCAGAATGACTTTTGATTATAATATCTTTCATAGATCGGCAAGATATACTACGATGAAAACAATTTAAAGGGGTGTAATGAGCTTTAAAAGATCCAGTTCTCAACTGACTAGGATGGCGATATTACTCCGTTCTACATACTTGAAAGAGGTGACTGCTCGTTTGTTAAGAAAGTGAGGAACATGGAGAATATTGGCGTGGCTGTGGGTATCATAATCAATGACAGTGACGACGATGTCAACAATATTGTTCTGAGCGATGATGGCACTGGTGGAGGACTCCGCATCCCCACTATGCTGATAGGCTAGACTGAGGGAAAGAAACTTCTAGACTTTATGAGGCGCGGCACTCAGCAGGAAATAGATCAAATCGCTATTATGGCTGAGTTCAAGATGGACAAGCCAGACGACAGAGTTGAATATGATCTGTGGTTTACATCTTCCAGTGATAGAGCTCTTGATTTTATTTCTGACTTCAAAGAGTATGACTAGAAATTTGGCGAAAAAGTGCTCTTTACTCCTCACTACGTTTTCTGGAAATGCCCATATTGCGAGACTGCATATTTAAAGAATGATTGCTATTCCAAAGGCAAATATTGCGCAGTAGAAGCATCTAATAATGACATTAAGGGAAGAGAGATCATTCTTGAAGATTTGAGATAAGTTTGCCTATATAAGCATACCTATGAAGAATAGTAGGACAGATTGACCTGGTGGAAGTATATTGAGCATGTGCATCAAAATTGCTATAACGTGATTAATGAGGATTGCTCAAAGTCAGCTCATGATAAACTTGGTTTAGACTTCCTCAAGACTCAGGGATGTGTGATTAATTCCTTCTCTTCAAATGATTGGGAATCACCAGACACCGTAAACCATATTATTGACAACGAAATCTAATACTGGAAAGATTATGGCTCAGGAGTTTTCCCATCAATAGTTATTAATAACAGAACATACAGAGGATAAATTGAGTCACTTGCAGTCTTTAATGCTCTATGTTCCGGCTTCGCTACTCCTCCTCGTATGTGTCAAAACCTCTTGAATTCCAATCAGCCAGACTTCATTCCCATTCAGGATGGGATCAAGCCAGGGGTTATTGTACTAATCGTAGTTGGCCTAATTTTAATAAACGTGATCATTGTTTACTGTTTCAGAAGACATGCTAAGCGAGAAATGCAAGGTGAAATGCAAATGTAAATAGAGAGTGCAGTCAGCCAGTACTTTGCTTTATCACAGAAGGACGGCGGTAGACCCTACGTAAAATGAAAGAGGCTTGTATCTCCTATATATAAAGCAAGTTTATAAATAGTTAGATAGATATATGTAACCTTTAAAGTCTAATTATTAAAATTAAAGAGTATAAATAAGTTAATATAGTAGTAAAATTATAGAAGCAGAGTTTAAGTAAAAAGATCTGGATATGCCGGGGTTTGAACCCGGGGCCTTTCGCATGCAAAGCGAACGTGATACCACTACACTACACACCCATCTCTACAACTCTACCTCTAAAACTTTCTTTTAAGTCACTCTCGCTTCCCTCAACAACGAACTTTCTTTTTCATTTCCATCTAAAAGCTGATATGAGTACAGTTGAATGAGTTAATTCTTTGCTGAAATCTAAATTTTAGAAATATTCTCTATTCTAATTCGATTTAAAATCATGGGGTTTTGGGGTTTTGGGGTTTTGGGGTTTTGGGG